GGACATCCTTGTACTGCTCGTGATACTTTGGTTCAATGGCATCGTTATTGGGACAGCGGAGTGTCAAAACGTCTGTAAATCAAACCCATACGACAAAAAGCAATATGTAATGACACTTATTGAGCAAATTGTGATTCACTGAATTAATGACAACGATATCTGTATTTTTCTACATAGATCTGGCTATTAAGAACCAATTGCAATCAAGCCAGTGATGTATTTCTGCTATAAAGATAACATTGTGATTGTAATATGAATCCACCATTAACTTGTAGCTTTATGAGAATATAAGTAGTAGTCTGAAATAAAACATGTACTTTTTACCATAGTGCATAACATTAGTGAATATATATGCATTAAAGGTTATGTATTTGTTTCAAAACTTATCTTGAAGACATGCGTATTTTGGCATTGCTTGCAGTTTATAAGACAGGCATTGGTAACCCAAAACCAAAAACGAAAAGAAGAAGAAAAAATCAGGAAAAAAATAGGCAAAGTTTACTAACATATGAGGTCTATAAATACTCCGGACGTACAAAGCAGGAACGATATGGGATCGACTGCTATATATATATCGTTCTGGCAAATATATTGGATGTATAAATCTAACTTAAGGCCCCTTACGATACTGAAAACCGTCGCTTAAGATTTTGTCAAATTGACAATAAAGATTAAGTTATCAAACATACACACCTACTGTAGGAGGTGATTTATTATTTACTCCCCCGATAAACATTCATTCTGTGCTTACAACAAGCAGTGATTATGACACGTGTAACACTATTTGTTTTGAATTTATTCCAATTCATTTCAATTATCTCCTTCACCCAACTGAGAAGTATGAAAAAGTGATTTTGTTTATAGACGAGGGACAATTAGGAAAAGGAAATTCTAGATATATGGGTGAAGTTTCAGCGATGCCAACATGTCGTATGGAGTTTTCGTGGTAACGTTTCTATTGTACTTCCTGTTTGGGTCAAGCGCGCTATGATACAGACAGTGTTATGGCGATAGACATCGGTATATGCTATATAACGGTATTACCAAACCTATAAAACACCCAGATTGTCATCAGCGTGGCAGGTACACACACACGTGTTAGAAAATCATTGGAAATGGCTTCATGTAATTTCTACTACAGATGTAAATACGGAGAAAAAGAACTTATTTAATCAAATATATTGAACGTAAGAAATACGATACTACGTTTGTAAGATACTGGGTAAGACATTGTGAAAAAGATCACGATCTAACTGATCGATATACGAACTACATAGTGTACTACATCTTATCTCCACGTCTTCGGATATATATACAGAAAACAAATTGTCGTAGACATCCTACAGCCCAACACACAGACTGTCTGATACTTATACTGAAAACAACTAGGAGGCTATCATTGAAAACAGCACATCGACAGTTTGAGAAAAAAGGTCTGAGTGCAGTGATTTATAAGGATCCCTGACAATGCCTGTACACTGTATATGTATTTCTATTTTTTAGAATACTTTTCCCATGACACTGAAACCGTCGACTTATTTTTAATTAAAATTGGAATCACATGAATCGTAATATGATCTTGTTTAATCAAAAATATGAAAACTTGTAAACGGAATAATTTTCCCGGGAGTTGTTTTAGAGCCCAATGGACAGCAGAATTCCATTACATAATGATATCCTATACCAACATACAAGTTCGGTAGTATATGTGTACGCTAGATATTTTCACTTGATGAAATCAAATCAAGCGAGAGGAACACTATAGCATTAATAATGTGCTATCACGTCATCGATTTGTGCTATCGTACGTCACAATGTCTATTTGTTGGAATCCATTAAACACAATCATATTTACATTGATGTAGAATTTTGGGGAAAAAATAATACAGGACTTTATGCAGATTTAATATGGAATTTTCTGATGATTTATTTTCGTTTTCATGAGGCGATATGAATGCTTGTGTCATGTCTGTTATTAACACCGCCGGGCAAGTGATGACATACATAAATATTACAGTTCTACTTTTATGCAGCCGAATTTCTTAGATTGCTATAAGATAGCCGTTCCATTTTCGTTAGATACTTATTCTTGTAGTATTCTCAGGTTAATGGACCCCACTTTTGATAGGCTTTATATATATATAATCGTAAACCAGGCTTCCCCAGTGCATACCACTCAAATCCTTCGCTGTGTCCCACTAACTGTGATACAATTGCTTTGATAGTTTGTTTCGACGGGTAGGGATTCTTTAGGGACTATTTCTTTGCAACTAACCCACCCAGACTGTTTTAGCCACCCACCTGGTTCCGGATGAAAGGCCTAGAGAGACATTACCGCCATTGCGGTCGTTCGTTATGCCTCTGGAGTTATTTATGTGTTGTAACATCCTCCCGACTTCATACAGATACAGTCACCCATAGGGAAGACATCCTCAATGCTATGAGATATGGCCGCTAACGTTTATTTATCGCACAACCGTCGACGTAGGCATCGGGATCCCGTCGTGCTTGAAAAGGGTTCTGGTTTTGTAAATATTGTGAAGCGTCTGCGGAACTCGGCTTTGTGGTAGATCTAGTGAGCATGAGTTATGGCGGGCGTAGGGATACAAGAACGTTTAGCAAATGTTAAGAGTAATGGGGCGTACGTTACACATTGTGGAAACAAATTCTATTGATAACATCTGAGACTTGCTTCAGCCGTAAACAGAAAATCTGGCGCGATGATTTAAGAAGGCATCTTTGAATTAAACACGTCAGCGGAATATATCTAGATCTGCGCACTATATACTTGTACTAGAAAACATAGAAATGACCAGGGACCACAATGGCGAATTGCATATCGATACTTATGAAACGATTACAAACCTCATAAAAGTGATCTACTCATGCTACATTTACATTCGTAAAGCTTATTACGATGGTACAAGTCCGAATCTCTAATGCCTTTGTATTGATAATTAAATGCGTTTAAAGAATGATGGCGTGGTACGAAAGCAGTTACGCATAAGCTGTGTACTTTTAACATGCTTTTAACAAGCGAAAAAGAAGTCGGATATTTAATATTGGGAACAAGGATGTTTAGATTAAGCGTATCATATTGTGTGTTAGTATAGTCGATAATATCCACTTTCACAATTAGCTTACATTTCAAGTTAAAATTATTCGTGTACAAGCACATATGTTCTGTAACGTTAGGAATTGCGCTGACTTAGATTATATGTGGGAGTTTACTTAATTTCAGTAACTTGCTTTTTTATGTATGTATATCTGCAACAAACACCAGCTGAACTAGGTCGTAATAAGTTTATGTATAAAAACTGTAAGACGAACTAGTTATTGATTTATGATCTTAACTCTTGCTTTTAGAAACCCTATCAATTCACAATGAAATATAATTTAAAATTAATATATCAAGATTCATTTCGGATGTAGCTGTTTTCTGTAAGAAATTATTTGAAATTAATATCTCAAATTCATCTCCGATTTCTAAATTTATTGTCATTTTTTTATTTAATTAGTTCCCTTGAAACACAGAAGCATCTGCAGTAAGGTAGAACGAATGATGTCACGTCACGTAAGATACACCGGTACAGATTGATTATCTAAGAAAACAAATTACTCAAAATAATTCAACCTTAATGCAATCCCTCCTCCTCCTCGGTTCCCTTACTTCCCAACCATTGTCTGCGCTAAATTAACCGGAAGTGTCTTCTGCGAGGTACGAGTGATCACAAGGCTCGACTCTCTAGTGTTTTGAGGTCTGAAAGGTGCAATTACGATGATGATGCTGTTGATGTATCACGCCTGATTGGTTTGTGTACTGGGGTGAAGAATTACAATAAAAACAATAGCAGTGATACCACATACACACAACTGGCTGTAGCACCGATACACAAGCCTCTCTCCGCATCCCCGATAATTACTAGTGGTGATGTGCATCGCGGCACCGTTAGACAGAGCGCCTGTCCATCATTACCACGAAACATGCAAACACGTTGCCACTATGGTAGCTTGTAGCAGCTCGGATTCACAATATGTATTACAGTGACAACAGCAGTACGCATAACATGCTGATAATCAGAATCATGCTCGATAAGTTTAGGTTGCTAATTTTTTGCTGTTTCAATTCAACTGGTCATGCAGAAGCGGGAGTGGGTAACGATGGAATGGGGGTTTTAAGGATATACTTATGTACTTTCCTTGTTCGTGTTTTACATGAACGCGATACCCTTGTATGTTTCTCTTATTGGATTAGAAATCAATACCTCTCTGTCGTTTGCTATTTCGTCCTGTCTACTGTCTACTGTCATACACTAATGCAAACCATACACGTTCTTTCTCGTAAACACTACCAACACCTGTGTGAACTGTGTCGGGGCTGTAATGGTGTTGCTCCTTTGATCACCAGACTGTGTGAGAGAGGGTATGTGTGTACACACGGATATACAGGTTCTCGTGAAGTCAAGCATAGTTCACCACATTTATTACAAAAATATCAATAAATCACGAAAGTTTTATTATTTGTTTTATTTAACCTTAATAAGAATGTATCTCGGTCCAATTTACATTCATGTCATTGTGATAGATCACAGCAGTACGCTATATATCCGATATTTATATATAATATATATGTATTAAACTCGGGTACAATTACGACAGGTATTTAAAATCTGGAACTTTCAGATCAACAACATTACTGTATTTGATGTACTGTGTTAATTTATTGATATTTAAGATATTGTAACATAATTAACGAAGAAAGACAATTTTTGACTCGTGCTCTGTCCGGGCCTCGAACTCATGATCTACGGCACCAAATGAATTCCAGACTGCATATATATACATACACATGACAATTCATCGTGTATGTTTTACAGTTGAGGTTACGCGAAATATTCGTGAAAAGTTTTGAAAATATTGATTGGGTTCGAGGCGAATAATTTTCGTTATTTTATAAAAATGTTCATTGAGTCTAAAATGTTTTGTTTTGTGTTTTTCAGAAGCAAAAGGTAGAAAGAAGAGAAAGCCATACACCCGTTACCAGTCAATGGTGTTGGAAAATGAATTTTTGAACAGTTCTTATATTACAAGACAGAAACGATGGGAAATATCGTGTAAATTACAACTAACAGAAAGACAAGTGAAAGTTTGGTTTCAAAATAGACGAATGAAGAGGAAAAAGTTGAACGAACGCGCCAAAGCGAGACTGAGAGATGACCAAGAACCTAAAGACCATCATCATGCAGCACCCGGTCAAGGTCACCATTCAGTACAAGCGTGACAATGACTGTGATCATTTAGATCTCATTTAAGATATTTCTTCATCTTGTTGTCTCTCATCGTGCTCATTGGAACTCTTGAAATTGAGTCGGGTATTCCAACCCGGAACCGCTTGAGCACCATATGACTGTAGAGTGAGAGATATTACTCGTGTGACGTCACTGGGTATTGTGCTATTTTGGCGGTGAGGTGTACTTATGTGCTACCAAGTGCTGTTCGAATGATTGTAATCGTCAACACAGACGGACATATTTGAACACCTTACACCTACATATTGAGGAAGACAGCGTAAGAGAGACATAGGAAAACGAAAATTACCATACCGGTAAAATAATTCATGTAAACTTGTTACTGGATATATACAAGCCGGAAATAGAGAAACGGGTTACGTCATTTCTGTGTATGCGTGTTGAAAGAGGAATGTCATTTCATAGTTGTATGAACAACAACTAGGAAAAGGCGTGTTATATATTAGTCAAATTTTGCAGTTTGGCAAGACATCGGTCTAGCATGCCCGTAGAAGTATCACCGAGTCCAACAATTGAGTCTGTTTTGTCAGTCAATGTAACTCTAGAAATGACTCATCGAATTTTATGCCAGGGATTTTAGTTTTAGACATATGTTGATATATGTTCTTGCCATATATATATTAGATATCGGTACAGAATAATTCTTATGTAAATATACAAAATACGTGATATTTAATTTGTGAAAACAGTGTTGTTCGTAGGATCAGTGTAATATCTTGTTCATATCATGTCAAAATGGTGGCGCTGCTGATTTAATTGATATCACGTGACGACCAAAGAAACCTTATGTCCCAGTTCATTCATACATGTAAATCACACATTTGCATTCATATCATGATTATACATTTTAATATTTTTCAGTAACATGTACAAACTATTATTAGTTTCAAGCGTTTGATCGATTCAGATTTCATCGAAATCTGCAGCGCCATCTATGTATTAACGTTCTGTCTTTTCGTTGTCTTTGAGATTGCTTATTTTAAATACAATCTTGTGCTAAACATAGGTTTCCTTTCTCTCTATATCTGACTGAGCGTTTGCAAAGTAATGGTACATTATATAAATATATATATCGAAGTGCGCGGGAATACTTGACGTAAATGAATATGAATGTTAATGAATGGTGTGAATGTATTTTCATTTTTTAAAGAAAAAAAGATAGTATTCTGTTTATTCCGTGTTAAAATTAGCTGACTCATCAAATTGATATACTATAACTTTAAATACTGCTACTGATAACTACCTATATTAAAGCAGACACTTTCATTATTTAATTTATAATTTCTTCGTTACATACTATTTTCATAAGTGAAACAAAAAAAAATATTTTACAAAATTAAATACGATGCGTTTTGTATAAATTAACATCGTTTTGATATTGTTTAATAAGAAAACATTACGTTTATAAACACAGAAAATTGACAATTGTAGTCTTTCCTAAAACGAATAATTTTCTTTATTGGACACGTCTAAGGCTACGTTTATATAGGTCTGATTAATTTTCGATTTTTTCCCCGTTTAAAAGTAAAAATAATAATAAGCATTAGGTGTTGTGACACGCTTTTATAGGAATAATATAAATATTTACAAATCAGTTGATTTGAATTTATTTTAAACTTACCGACTTAATTAATTCACAAGTTTTAATAATAAGTAGACAAAACACGTAACATAGAATTAATGGAGGCTGTTGTGTTATGTTTGCAAATTAATTGGAAAAGTTAAAATTTAGCCATATTTATTTATTTCCTTTTAAATGCCAAAACATACAGAGAAAAGCATAACAGGAAGAAATGTTATTTTAAAAACGTCTGAGTCGTACTGTGGTATTGATTTCGGTACCACAATTTCTTCCAGAATTTTGATATAGAAGACTCTCAGTGAAATCAGCTAAAGGAATGTAATATCTAACACGTTTCAAATACAGGAGAATGTCTACATTTCTGTTTCAAAATATATTAAGAGAAGTCAATCTTGATGTATAGGAAATTTGAAATAAAAAAGTACATATTCCAAATTATATAGAACTAGTTATGAAATGAAACGCTAATACTTACATGCAACATGACAATTGAACTCTATCTTAACTATAATGACCTTTTACATACCCTTCTTGTCTTTGACCTCTTTGTTTTATCTATCTGCACGTGTATGCTAATTGATCTCTCTAATTTCTATAGATGTCAAAAATTTCCAGCCATTGAAATATGTCCCGAAGGGGAGCGGCCTTTCATAGCAAAACAGACCTTTCTCTTTATCAGTTCTGCTAAGGAAGGACGTTCCCTGTACAAAGTTTCATGGAATAAAATATGTTAAAATGAAAACTGATGTCTTATTAATTCTTTACAAGTTAACAAAAATGTCGAAATTTGATGTCGAATGTATTGCCATAACAATATTGTAGTTGTTTCCAGATGGAATCAGATGTTCGGATTCATTGCAAATATCTGAACAGCATTGCACATTCAATTTCGTAGTGAAATAACTTGTCAGGTCACAAAACCACAACAAATACAGGATTGCAAACATTACGAATGTAAATCGGATATATTGCAAAAGTGGAAGCGGAGTAAAAATACCAGATATTACATTTGTTTTTACGAAATTTTCCCTGGTAATAAGTCTATAACGATGCTTTTTAGACCGGCGTTATAATATACATCGATGAAGTGTCATTTCAATTTGATTTTGTTGAAAACATCATGTAACCCGAGGTTCCAGATCTTTTGTGAACTTAAGTATATATGTAGTGTATCATATAGATGATTGGTATACTGTGTTCTGATAAAGGCTAATCGTAAGACAAGTATAATCGAAACATTTCGTACTTTCATTCTGTTGGTTTTGTTGGTCATTTGATACTGTAAGTACGTTAAAGATTAACGTTATTGAAAGTGTTTGTTCTTTTCCTTCCTTCCAATGACCATACAATGTCAGTTCCCAGAGCTACACGGCCTTTGCTTTTTACATCATTCGATCCGGTTGGAAAAGGCAGAACTTCCGTTCTCGGGCGCACAGTGTTGGATGAAATATCTTGATTTAGATCTATGGTAGACATCTATTAGACTAACATATAAAATCTGGTGATATTATGCTTTGCGCAATTAATATTGCCCACGTTATAATTCGTATGACATCTGCATTTAGATGCTCCTAACATCACCGACGAGGCATACGTTATCTTACAAGATAAATTGCGATTGTACATCAAATGACTAACGCATTGCTATATACGTATGCTTATATCTTAGCTCAATGCGTTGATCCGAAATGAAGTATCTTAACAGCATTCTTTGATAAAACAACATTTGTTTCATCATCTTTTTATTTTTAAGTCGGCACAATAAATTTTGTTTTGTATCAAATTACTTGTAATTTATGTGAAATGATAAATGATAAATATTAAGAGATAGTTGAGGTGTTTTTAGATTGGTAATGCTAGACAAATAATGCTTATGATCTCATCTTGCGCCAGCGAAACATAATATGCATCGAATAAAAATCCATGCAATATAAATATATATACCATACACTTTACAATTTTCACACCAACATACAATGAACCTTCTTTTCACAAATCCTCTTAAAACGAATGTAAAACTTCAGCAAAAGACGGATTTGCAAGACGACACTGGAAACGAACAAGGTAAAAAACATCAAACGCTTCAGAAGGATAAGATCAGTGACTTGAAGATCAGTCAAAGTAGTGGCGAACAAATAGCTGTTGATCGAAATATGTTTGGTAACTAAAATCCTACAACGCTATAAAACTGTACCAATTCAATCACGCGTTTAAGACTCTACAGGCTGATGATAGGTTTACAATAGAAAATTCAAAATATCGTAGTGCCACTTTCAAACGTTGGACCGAATTCAGCAACAGCTTGTTAACTCCGAAGAGATGCCGGATAAGTGGCATAGAAAGCATGTTAATGATCCTTCAAGGATAATGTGGTTAGGCATATTTGCATTCAAATATTGAATGTAATTTTCTGTGTGCTTTTTACGTGTAGATCACCGCAGGCTCGTTCATGGAAATGTATACGCAGAACGCTTTTGGGTAATTATGCCCGTGTCTGGTACATGCTGACAGGCATGTTAAAATTAATTATCGTATATCGGATATTAAATGGGAAGAATATGTTTTTCTTTATGTTAAATTACGACTGCTTTCACAATGTATATGTGTGCGGATTACTAATGTTCTCCAAAATATTCGTCAACCTTTGCTTTGTAACAAAATATTTAGTAAACACAAAAATAAGATAAAACATCATTGAATCTCTCTGAACCACTACACCAAAATAACAAGGGTCTCTAGTATGTTTATAATCTCAACATTTTGATTGAAATAAAATCAATGATTTTAATATGTATGCATTCTAATCTATTATCAGATGTTTGCGTGTTTCGGTGAATATAAACATGTGACCTTTTGCATGTCACATGATCTCTTCAGATTTTGAAAATGATAATGAAATGACGTCGCATATTCACCATGGCATCATAGCTTTATGAATTTAAGACAGCGAAGATGACGTCAATAATTATCCTGAAAACTACGTAATATATCACGCTATAAAACGGAAGTTAAATTCTTCCTCAGATCAAACTCGAGCACACTTATGACAGGTAATTCAAATCAAAGATTACAAAATAGAACAACACCCAATATAAATTTAGATTGACAGGGTTTAATGATGAAGTAAGTTGCATCATCATTAGTGATATCAAGGCCATAAAGGTTGAAATCAAGGAAACTACTGAAGAAAGTTGGTTTCCTTGACGTCGTTGTATACATGATTTGAACAGGTACTGTAGGGTTGTGTAGGTACTCGAAAATCATTCCAAATGGTACGTACCTCCTATGCTGGCTCAAGTATTTAATGATTATTGTGGCATGGAAAAGATAAGATTGCCTCGTCTCTTACAACTCTCGTAAACATTTCCTACTTACATGGTATATTTACTA